ACATTGTCTAGAGAGCAAACTACGGTGCTATGAAGAGGAGTAGCCAGGTGTGCATAGTTGATTAGGGACTGAGAGGCGATGGTGAGGACGGCCCCGCGCTATACATACAGCAAGGCGAGGTGCGATGTCGTGATATGCACGATCGCTTGGAAGGTCGCACGTCCGTCTGACTGTCACTAGAGCGCAGACCGTCAAGATCGTAGCTCACGCCGGAAAATCAACAACTGGCCAGGAGCCGTAAGTACAATCGCCCTGCAGCGAAGTCTCTCTCATGAGCATCGCATTACCCCTGTTGCCAGCGTCTTCTTGTCGCCCGATGGTTTAAGCAGGCGCGGCACTCGCCGGAGTCGAGGCGCCGCTCAGAGCTCCACTGGGTCGGTTTGGTGGTTATGGATTAGTTGGTTGGGTGGGGGGTTTTCTTTTCTTTTGCGTTTTTTTGTTATGGTTTGCAGTTTGTTAATGGGGTTTTTGGGTTGTTGGGTTGTTTGGGTTTCTTTGTTCGGGTGTTTTAAGTAGTTGTGGTGGGTATAACTACTTGAGTTTTTTTAATAGAAACGGAAAGGGGTGTGATTTGGGAAGATATCTGTTTGGGTAGTTAAGTGCGAGAAAGTATATAGATAACACATAAGAAAAGTTAGAGAGAAGGTTGGTATACATGTGAGACCTTCAAGATAATGTGTTAATGCTCGGTCATTAGATCAATTTGTGGAGAGCTTGATACGGGGGGAGCCCCTACTGATACAGATGTATAGGGATGCGCTAGTCTCAAGAGAATAATGAACAGCGAAAAGAAAAGAAGACAGTAACTAAGTCAAATGAGAATCAAACAAGAAAAACAACAGCAGAACAGTCATTTACAGCTTATGTCTAAAATAGTAGGCACAATAAAGACAATAAAATCATAATGAAAAAACAGGCCAAAATGCCATGTACCAAAGACAATTCACAACAAAAGACTAGACAAGTCAGACCAAAAATTACAAGCAAAGGCAGTAGAGACAAAAACATACAGACTAAAATAGAATATAACGGACAAAGACAAAAACGAACAAACCGCCAACCCATCACGTAGACAGTCTCGGCTTGATGACAAGCTAATAAAAACAGGCAAACACAAAAAGCAAACAGTCAGGAAACTACAAATCATCATGCGGGCTAACTTAGGACAGGACAGGGTCACACACCACGAACATATACCCTCTTGCTGGGCACAGTGTGCCTGGAGCCTGGCAGTATCTTGGTTTACAACCGAGGATCGGCTCGGTTGAAAGCTTGTAGAGGTGCTACGGGGGTGTCCCGCGCTGCAGACCCGCACCTGTATCCTGGTTTCCATGGTTACATGGGGACAAATCGCCGAGCAATTGTTTGTGACCGATTTATGCTACACATCTCTGGGCGACCTGTTTCGGACAATATGACGTCCGAGGCAATAGCACGCGATCAGGATAGGCATGAGCACCTACTAGTCGCACAACAGCAAGACGACACGGTGAACGGCGACTATGACTCGTTAGAGATGGGATAATTTCGCGTCGACTGAATTCGCGACACACGACTAGAATAGAAGAGATGGCCTAGCTGATCACACACAAAGAACACCCGGTGCCTGTTGTGGACACGAACCACCCACACACTTACTGAGAAAGTTATATTTATGTGGTATAGTGGTACGGTGCGAAGGTGAAGACGTGTACGCAACAAAGAGGATTGAGGGTAAGAGGTATCAACAGAAGAGGTTTGTGACTATGAACACACGAACACACACCCACACAACACACACACTCAATGATTATATATAGGAGAAGACATATTAGTATTAGCAGTAGTATAGTCGATATACAGTATATATCTATATATATATATGTATATATATATAGTTATATCTGTATATGATAGTAGATTATAATATAATATTGATATATAATAATGGTACGATAATTATCATAGATAGGGATAGATAGATTAGGATCTTAGATAGATAGATATAGGATAGAGTGATAGAGTAGGTTATTGTACATATATCTATATATATATATATTAATATATATACGTGATAAGGTTATGTTAGTGAGGTTTATATAATATAGTATAGTATTGAAATATATGATAGATGTAGATAGGTAGTCTGTAGATAGATAGTGATATGATAGATATGATAGTGATAGAGATGGGGAGTTGTAGTGGTGTGCTAAATGAGGTCGAAATACTATAGCCGTTATAACAGGGAAATAAGATAGAGAGTTTTTTTTACTTCCATAATGGTCTTTTCTTTATCTTTTTTCATCTCATCATAGAATGGCTGGTACTATCTTTATTTTATCTATGGTTTATCAGCGATCTATGCGTTACTTTTGCAGCTTTAATTATCGTGGTGTTCGATTAGCTCATCTATTGCTATAATTATCTCTTAATGTAAAATCTTTATCATTCAATGTCTTATATTCTATCTATCTGTCCTAATCTCATATAATTTCTATATCCAATCTATCTATTATTTACT